CTATAAATGGAGTCTCCTCTTACACTATCAGATACAATATATACAAGAGATTTCTTACACTCTCTTATTTGTTTCATGGTATCAGAGCACAGGTATACTGCCTAGTCTCTTTCCTAGCATCCTTTTTTTTTCCTTCTTTCTCTCTATTGGCAGTCTGCAGATTGCTACCCCTCTCGTCCTTCTCTCAATTACAGTTTGGACACCACCAAAGCCTTCATCTCTTCACTACGGATCCACGGCCACCGGATTCATCCTCTTTCGACGTCACATGGGCCATCACGCGCTAGTTTTGTCGCCGGCGCGTCGCCTGCTTCGGCCTTCAGCATCACACGCGCTCCCGCGTCCCCAGTCGCCTAAGCCACCTCTTTCCGCATCCCACGCGCTCCGCGTCCGCCAGCTACGCCAGCCGTCCGCGTGAGCCATACCACCCGCGTCCCTCGCGCCGGCTCGCCAGTCCCTCGCGCCGTTCTGCTCCGCCTGCAGCTGCTGCTCCCCCACTCGGCTCCAGCCGGTCCAGCTCTAAAACCGGTTCAGCCACTTTCCCAAGCCGGTTCACCCCCATTTTTGGACCTTTTTGACCGGTTCAGCCCGGTTTCTGACTATTTTGGCCCTTCTGCACCCACTGGTGCCCTTGGAATTTTCAGATTCTCCCCTGCTTGTGCTATTTTTCTCTCATGGATCGCTTGGACTTCTCTAACCACCCTATTTCCGTTATTCTTGACGGGACTAATTATGTCCTATGGGCCCAAGCTATGTCTGGCTTCCTCAAAGGAAAGAAACTTTGGCGCATCATCACTGGGGATGTGTGCAAACCCATTCAAGGGACCCCGGATTCTGCTGCCACGGACTCCACTACCAAATATGTCGACCGACTGGAAGATTGGGATAGTAAAAACTATCAGATCATCACTTGGTTTCGCAATACTTCTATTACCTCTATCAACCTTCAGTTTGGTCGGTTCCAACTTGACTCTGCTTCCTCTCCTGCCAAAGACATCTGGGATTTTTTACAAGAACGCTATCAGACTACTGGCCTTGCTCACCAATATCAGCTTCTGAGTCATCTTCACCGTATGCGCCAAGACACCACTCAGAACATTAATGATTTCCTCTCCCAAATGTATTATGTTTGGGATCAGCTCGCTCTTTCTGAACCTCCATGGGATTGTACTACGGATGCTGCCTTGTTTACTACTTACCGTGACCAACAGCGCTTGGTTCAGTTTCTCATGGCTCTCACTCCCCGATTTGAGCCAGTACGCGCATCTCTCCTTCATCGCACTCCTTTACCCACTCTTGAGCAAGCAATTTCTGAACTCCTGTCAGAGGAAACCAGATTTGGTACTCTCCATCCGCACCCTGTGGACTCTGTTCTTGCCACTCCCCAGATTCGAAGTTCTCCTTCCCCACCTTCACCACAGAAGCCCAATGCCTGCAATTACTGTCACAACCGCAATCTTCCATCGACTCATCTTCTGGTTAATTGTCCAGTTGTGAGTTGTGGATCAAAACTCTATGCAGACCAAACTCAAGAGGCTGAGGAACAACCCGAAATTCCTGTGTCTCAAAATCGAAACAACGAATGAAGCCGGGACTATCATGGTTGAAATTAAGCCAAAGAATAGCTCCCTTCACGAAAGAATTGAAAGTGGTTTGTCAAATGATAAGGTACCTTACCCATATTCCTCCACAACCCTTCTCCACCAATTGTGTAAATCTTGGCCTCTGCCTCCTCACGATAAGAACCCATCTGAGTATCGTGGTCAATATAAACAACCTCTTGAAGAAAAAACCGAACCACCTTGTCCTGATTCTTGATTTTAAATATTTTAAGACCATTTGGTGAGAAATATATTTTTATCACTAATAAATTTTAATATTTTAAGACCTTTTAGTGAGAATATTATTTTGTCACTAATTTTGGGAAGAAAATTTTGCAATATTAGGCAGTGAGAAAAAAAAATAGACTACAATTTTTCCCTCTTGTTTATTTTTGTGTTTATTAGTTTCTCTCTCGTCTCTGCCTCTCTCTCTCTCTCTCTCAAAACAAAACACAGATTTAGTGGTGGCAATGGGATCCTACCCTATAGGTATTCATGTGGATCCTATCCACATATATGGATTTTCCTATTTTTTTTACCCATCGGATTAATTAAGCGGGATTTTTTAAAAACCCATAGGATATGAGTTGGGAATGGGTACCCGCTCATTTCCCATTTCCTTGTGTTTAGGGTTCTCAGTCTCACGGTCTTCTCAATCTCATTCTCACTCTCACATAGCAGCGAAGGCAACGATCTCCGTCGGATTTGCAAAGGCAACGATCTAGCGGCGGTGATCTCAATAGGTGTTATCATGGTGGTTCTTCGGCGTGGTGAGTTTCTTTATCTCGTTCTTTTGTTCTCTCTTTGTCTCTTGTTCTGTGTGTGTTGCGTGTTTACAAAATTCTAGAGAAACAACAGTGCTGCCCATCTGGGTATGCTCTCTTTAATTTTAAATTCATAATTTTGTTTTTATCAGATGAGATATTAGTGGACTTGGGACAAAATATTTAACCAAACAGACTATTGAATAGTTGTAGTTTACTGAATTTTGAACAATCTGTGGCACTGAAATTCATCATCGAGTGATCAGTAGGTTTCTGTGAGAAAGGTGCTTGAGATGAGCTCCGATCAACATGCGATTCTGGTTCGTGACACTGGTCCTGCAAACGGGCTAAATTCTGTTAACATATTAATATACTTATTAATATAATATGTTACTATCTTATAGTATGTATATAATAGGAATATATTATAGTATGTATATAATAGCTTTAGCTTTCGGCTTGTCCCTGCTTTCGGCCGCCCACCTTCTTTCGGCCTACTTTTCTTTATTATAGTAAATTATATCATAATGATGTTTTGTATCCAGCTCCTATATTATGGAGCCTCTATTTGGTTTCTATATAGCGTGTTAATAACAGAGAGTTCTCTTTCAATATCACTCTCTCAACTCTCTCTCAACTTGTTTCACAATATAAATTCCACACTTATTATGAGTCTCATATAAGTTTTACATTCTCTCTCGAGCCTGCCTTGCCTACTGGTCTGTCCCATGCACTTGCTCCTTCTGATGGTCCTGCTCTTGCTCCCTCGGGATCCTCCCCTCCTGGTGAGTCTCTCCCTTTGGCTCCTCCTGCCTCTACTCGACCACACCGGGTAACCCAACCTTCTACTCGTCTTCGTGACTTTATTGTTGGTTCTACTGCTTTTTCTACTTATGAACCAACCTCTTATCGTGAGGCTCGCTCTAATCCTCTTTGGCAGCAAGCTATGACTGATGAATTACAGGCTTTAGACCAAACTCACACTTGGGACATTGTTGATCTTCCTCCTGGCAAGACTGCCATTGGTTGCAAATGGGTCTACAAAATCAAAACTTGTTCTGATGGATCTATTGAGCGCTACAAAGCCCGCCTTGTTGCCAAAGGCTTCAACCAAGAATATGGTATTGACTATGAAGAGACGTTTGCTCCTGTTGCTCGTCTCACCTCTGTTCGCAGCCTGATTGCGGTTGCTACCACTCGCCACTGGGATCTTTATCAAATGGACGTGAAAAATGCTTTCCTTAATGGTGTTCTTCTTGAGGAGGTCTACATGCAACCTCCCCCTGGGTCTACTTATCCCCCTCATAAAGTCTGCAAACTTCAGCGTGCTTTATATGGTCTCAAACAAGCTCCGCGCGCTTGGTTTGCCAAGTTCAGCTCTACTATTCATGATTGTGGTTTCACCTCTAGTTCTTATGATACTGCTCTTTTTATCCGGACCACTGCTCAAGGGACCACCTTGTTTCTTCTTTATGTGGATGACATGATTATCACCGGTGACGATCTTGATGGTATTCTATGCCTTAAACAGTTTCTTAGCCATCATTTCGAGATGAAAGACCTTGGTCCTCTCAGCTATTTCTTGGGTCTTGAAATCTTCCATGATTCCACGGGGTCTTTTCTCTCTCAGGCTAAGTATACCTCTGATCTTCTCACCCGCGCTGGTCTTATGGATTGCAAGACTGTCTCCACTCCCTTGGAGCCTCAAAGTCGTCTTACACCTCTTGATGGTACTCTTCTCTCTGATGCTACCCTATATCGTCAGCTGGTTGGCAGCCTTGTCTATCTCACTGTTACTCGTCCTGATATTGCCTATGCCGTTCATATTGTCAGCCAGTTTATGTCAGCTCCTCGTACCCCTCATTATGCTGCCTTAGTTCGTATCCTTCGTTATCTCAAAGGTACCTTGTTTCATGGACTTCATTATTCCGCCCGCTCCTCTCTCCAGCTTCGTGCTTTTTCCGATGCTGATTGGGCTGGGGATCCTACTGACCGGCGCTCTACTACCGGGTTCTGTTTTTTCTTGGGTGATTCTCTTATTTCTTGGCGCAGCAAGAAACAATCTCTTACTGCTCGCTCCAGTACTGAGGCCGAATATCGTGCTCTTGCTGATACTACTCAGGAGCTTCTCTGGCTTCGTTGGCTTCTTGCTGACATGGGCGTTTCCCCCTCTGGCACTACCGCCCTCTTTGTGACAATCACAGTGCTCTTCAAATTGCTCACAATGATGTTTTTCATGATCGCACCAAGCACATTGAAATTGACTGTCATTTTATTCGTCAACACGTCACTCGTGGTACTGTTCATCTCCATCCAATCTCCTCTGCTGATCAACCTGCTGATATCTTCACCAAAGCTCATTCTCCTGGCCGCTTCGTTGACCTTGTCTCCAAACTCCAGTTGGTTGATGTTTGTCCTCCTTGAGTTTGAGGGGGGCTGTTAACATATATTAATATAATGTAACATACATTAATATGTATATATATTATATTAACACACATAGCTATACTAATATATTATATATATAGTGGATGCTAGGATGCCAGAGCACGCCTTCGCTTTCGGCTGCTTTCGGCCACTTTCTAATATTTTATGTAATGTAACATAATGATGTTGTAAACAATAGCTCCTATAAATGGAGTCTCCTCTTACACTGTCAGATACAATATATACAAGAGGTTTCTTACACTCTCTTATTTGTTTCAAGATCAATGGGAAATCTCACTTGTTTCTTGGAGGAGATAAATCTCACCCGCAATCAAAGGAAATTCGCTTGTTATTGGAGGCCTTGCCTGAGAAAAAAAAGGCAACTGGGTACATACCAGATACTAGTTTTTTGCTGCATGGTGTTGGTGAAGAAGAGAAAGAATGTAACTTAAAGATTCATAGTGAGAAGCTGGCGATTGCATTTGGGCTTCTTAACACAAGCCCAGATACAGTTCTTAGGGTGACAAAAAACCTTTGAACCTGTGGTGACTGCCACACGGCTATAAAATTCATTTCGAAAATCTATAGGCGGGATATCATTGTAAGAGATGTGAATTGTTTCCATCATTTGAATTGAAGGGTCTTGTTCTTGTGGAGACTATTGGTGATTAAAAGAGCTGTTATTTTCGAAAGGGGTTTTCTCTAAGATAGTATTGAGTTCTCACTCCTATACTATATTTTGTGGTAAACCATGATAAGTAATCATGTTTGTCACAAATGTTTTGAAAATGTTTTTATTGGCTTTACTGTTTCCCACTGATGCAGTCATCTCATCCATACTTTGTTTTGTCTTGTTAGTATTATGATAGGAGTGCTGCTAATAGAAGAGAAGCTACGAGTTAGCAAGTAGTTGGAAGTCGGTTAGATTAGCTAGCAGTCAAGTTCTGTTTTGCAAATTAATCACTCTGTTTTGGATGTTAGTTACCAATACGGGCAGGAATAGTAGTTAGAAGAGAAGATATTGTATAAATAGAGATCAGAAAGAGGGTGTGGATTGTTTTCTGAAACTTGCATCTTCATTTTTTCTTCATGGATAAAACTTTCCAGCTGAAGGCATTGCTCTGCTGATTTCTTCTCCGATTGCTTCATTTCCTTCTTAAATTCTTCTGTAAATCTGTGTTTTATTACAGCAGGGTATAATTGGAACTACCTTTAGCAGCATCATACTATAATCCAAATTTACACCAGTTACAACTGTTTTTTTTCAGAGGTCTAAAACCCAAGTATCCCGTTCTTATTACAAAGTGTAATACTACTATTATTGCATGGATTAAATACACTGTTGATCCCCAAGTATGCGCTCTGTTTCATTTTGGTCTCTAATGTTTTAGTTGTGTCAATTTGATCTCCAATTTATGTTTAAATGTCGATAAAAATTGATTAAGTTGATAATCAAATTGACACAATTGAAATATTATGAATCAAAATAACACGAAACGCATACTTTGGAGATCAACAGTGTATCACTTGACCTGTTGAAAGGCTTGATCATTCGAGTAGCCCTTTTTTCTTGAGGGCGAAGAGGGAGATAGAAAATAAAACAAAAAAACCAACAACCATCCCAATTAGGCATTCATCAAATTGGAGGGGGACTCCGTTGAGAGTGATAGGGATGTCGATGTTCATGCTGAGAACATTTCCAATCACATCGCTAAAATTGACAAGTACACGTGCAATACTGATGACAACCGTTAATTGCAGCATCTGGTTCTGTTTGTCATCCAATATTATGTTGGTGTAGTCTTCCGTATTGTCCACGTAATCCCGCATCTAGCATGTCCAAGAAAGAGATTGAGTGTATAAGAACAACGATAATGTTGCATATTCAGAAAAGTATTTAGAATTTGAAATGTATGAATCATATTCATTCTCAATGTAATCTATACATTATGGACTCAAATTTTGTGACTTTTTTAGGATTTTTTTCTTTTTTTTTGGCTGAGTATGACTCTTGACTATGAAAAACAACAAAAAGACTTGCCCAAAGCAATGAATATTTCGGGCAGAGAATCTAAAAATAAAGGCATAGTGATGTGCACTTATTTCTCACCTAAAGGTTGGCAAGCAAAATGAAAATTTTATACATATAAATAGAGATTTTTTTTTTTTTCCAGATTTTCTTGTTAGTATATCTCGTTATCTTATATCTAATGATAAGAGAATCTAGTAAAAAATATATTAATACATAGCTTAACTTTAAAAAATAAAATAAAATAAATAAAAAACATACAGTGGATAGTTTGTTCAAAGCTCCATCAAGTTGGACAAAGTATGCTTCCAATAACATCTCCAACTCTGCAATCTTTGGCTTCTGTCTGTTCCCTACTACACTGGTACTTTTGTTGCTCCTTATCTCTTCTTCATCACTGAAAATTACAAGACTACTTTAGTCATTTTACATTAAAAAAAAAAAGAAAAAAAAAAAGGAGAAGTTATCCTGATATAATTTGCCGGGATCATATACATTTTCTCAGTTCAAAATTTCGCAATTGATACACTTCAAAATTTCACACCTTTGGTTCAGAAACTTAGTACTAAACAAAAACCCATGATATATGTTTCTCCCACGGATTGATCAAAAAAATAAAAAGCCTTTAATATATGTAACATGTTAAGTTATTACCTGTGATCTTCTAGTACGACAGTGTCATCGTCATCTATGTTACTATGTTTTGGTTTGGAATCTTCAAATTGTGGAGAAAAGAGCTTAGCAGTGAGGTACATTTCCGCCATATCCATATCATCATCCAATAAATGTTCAAGCTCATCTCTCAGCTGACAACCATAGTTGTGTATAACTCAATTAAAATGCTTATCATCAGCACATGCATCATAAATTAGAGCATTTGAAGTGTGATTTGGTAATGTTAAC